TCCTTCCATCAACAAGGGGAGGATGGAGCTCCGTATTCATCCACCATCCCTCCCTGCACACGTCCAAACCACGTCACCTCTAACAGGGTCTCTGAAATGCTCCACCTGAGCCGTCCCTCTTAAGCACTTCAGTCTAATCTTGTTCAGTCTGTAGATCTTAGCATCTTCAGCTCTGCCACTTCCAGCTTCGCCATCTCCACCGTGTAAACTTTCTCTTTCGCAGCTTTTTAAACCCACCTTCACTTCCTCTACTCGCTCGCAGCTTGGCTGTTCTAACCGTCTCCCTCTCACGTGCCTCCGCCTGTACGGCTCTCTGCTCATTACAGACCACAAGCATCACAGCCTTCTGAGAGTCCTGCCTGACCTCATTGTCAGCCTGTCCTTCACCCCTGCAAACAATGACGTGCTCAGGGTCAATCCCTCATTTAATCCCACCTCCATCTTAAACCCATCTGTCACTCGCAGCACTCAGACCTTCTCCACGTGGAAAACAAAAGGTATCTGAACAAAAGCTGCCAAATGCTCAGATGTGTTTATATGGCTTCTAAACTGGTTAATATTTAATGCTCAGATTATCCGTCACACATACATGTTGGTCCAAAGAAGCTATCAGTTGCTGACAGGTTAGAGGAAGTGAAAGTCTCCATGTGCAGCAGCTCAGCACTGCTTTATGAGGCTGTCAAAGGTGAAGGACGTGTAAAGACTGGGGAGCTTCTTTATAGCTGTAGAGAAACTGTTGCAGACACGTGGAGCGAGGTGGCCACTGCTATTAAACAGAGGGCTCGTGTGCATGTGGCTCACATTAGGAACTGCCTGTTTCTGTAGCTGTGATTAGGAGAACCAACAAGACACAGCAAATGTTAAAATAAATCATTACCAAACCTCTGCAGCACAGATTACCCTACTGTACACAGCTTGAAACATTCCTCAGCTTCCCTGTGCACTGACTGTGGAACGTCAGCAATCTGGCAACATCCCAAGAGGAGATATGATGTTTGCAAGCACAAGACAAGAGAATTGGGAAGCAAGCACTAAATCAAAGAGGCAGCATGGAGAAAAACAGCAATGAAACAGTGAATGAAAGCAG